TAGGTTTGGGTTAGAAGCAGGACAGTTCAAAAACGTTGAAGTAAACCAGGTAATTCTCCAGAGTTGTGGCAATTTCCAGATATAAATTTTCCACTCGAAATCCTACCCGTGGCAGTTTCATAACCAAAGCCCAGGGAACGAGAGAAATTAGTTTATCAGCAGCCTCCCCCCAGGCAGCCTCGGGTTCCCAGAAGTGACATTTGGCAGATGGCAAAAACGCTTCCAACATTCCAAATAAAATAATCCTCTTGCAGTTCCGTTCTGAAGGGCTCAGAAAGTGCAGCCACCCCTCCAATCGCACCCCCCTCTGCCCTGAGTGGGCGTGGAGGGGAAGGCAGGGAGGAAAAAGGGCTCTTTAATCCAAAAGCTGGGGATAAAGAGATCCAAGTTTAATGCCCTCAGTGATAACTCTCTGTGCTGTAACTGCCTCAGCTCCACAGCTGGATCTCAATGCCTTTGGCTCTCCCAGGAGTTTCATTCCAGTGTTTCATGAGTGGAGTCACTAAGGAGTGACTTGCATCAGCTTTGGAACAAGCTGTGGCATCCATAAAAACAACCCTCGGAGCAATGCCCTGTACCCCCTTCCAAAATCCATCCTCCAGAGACTGGCAAGCACTTTATCTGGCTGTTGAAAGCTTTAACCTCCAAAATTCGGAAATTGTTTTATTTACAGAGAATAAACAGTCTGTTCAAGTGCCAAGAGGAGCATTAGAAAACAAACCCTCTGCATTGCTCCTCCTCAGCACAAACTACACACCATAAAAAAGAAAAAAAGGATTATTTTCATTTTTCTTCAGTTTTACAGGGCTTAGAGCTAAGTAAGTAAAATGCAAACAACCTCGAGAAGGTCAGAAATCTTTCTGCCTGCCACCAGCACCAAGACAGATTTCCCTTGGAATTTTTTTGCTTCATCATCTTCCTGTGTCTAATAATTCAGCAAGTCTAAGCAGGGCAGCTTCCTGACAGGCTCCTGTGGCCACAGGACCTCTGGCAGATGCAGAGTGTGAAGCACTCAAGAGTCAGGCCAGGGTTAGAAACAGCCATGAATATTCACTTTGGGATGTCCAGTGTGGGATAACTCAGGAGCACCTTGATAAGGCTCATTGCTGGGGGTTTTTTTGGAGCTAAGGAATTATTGGGATCACCTCATCACCCCTCCTTCCCCTCAGAGAGATTAATCTGGCCATTTCCCTCACTTTGCCATTTTTTTAGGATATAAACGACCACTGGCTTTTTCAACATCTTTGTCTATGTGCAAGTCCCAAAAACCCAAACTGAATCCATAGGGAAGCAGTGCTGCATTTTGCCCAAGCACTGGCATTAATTCTGTTGCTGCTTTCCTTGATTTGGGGCTTGGCAGCCTTAATCACAGACTATTTTCAACTTCAGCTTATTTTCTTCACTCATTTAGTATAGTGTAGGAAGACAGAGAAAGAAATCCAAACAAAATTTCCCATCCCCACCTCGAACCCAAATCAACCTCTACCTTCCTCATCCAAAAAAAAAAGCAGAACACATATTACAGAAAACCAGAACTCAACATGCCTAGTTACTCTTCCAAAGCCAGATGGAAATACTCTGAAAATTAAGGTTACACAGCAAAGCAATGCAGAGAAACTGCCTTGGCAGGAAAGGAAACGAGGAAGACAAAGACATATTTCTCCGTACGTGGAATTTGTTTTTCATGTGGGGATCTCACAGGGTGGTACCAAAACTCACTCATCAGCTCCACTACCCTCTACAAATCCACCCTGCAATTTCTGTGCTCCAAGACTTGGACCAGCAAGACTGGAAAGTGAAAGTTACCCCCCAAAGGTAAGGTTTACATGCATTTTAAAATAAAAATTCTGTGTTCCCAGCACTGCAGTGCCACAGGACACCAAGAACCTACACTGTGCCTCTTCACAGCTCCCATGGAATTCAACAATTATATTGTGATTTTCATCTGATGAGAGGACTGTAATTTGGGGGTTTAATTTGCTTTTTGTTTTCCCCAAAAATTTAGCATCATAGTCTGAATTCAGAAAAAATCCTGCAGGTTTTGTTTCTTCCTCTGTCCTTAATTAAATGTTCTTCTCTTACACTACAGATTAACTTTGGAAGCAGTTTACATGTACAGAAGAACTACCTATTCAGTCAGGGAATAATGTATCTGCAAAGGCATCAGAAAGGCAGAGAACCACATTTCCAGGAAAACAAATACAGACTTAAACTCTTCCCCCAAAATATGCACATACATTTACAGCACTGTCTATCTCCAATACATCTAATAGAACCACTCCCTTGAACTCTTCTCTAGCTGAAATTTGTTTTCATTCAGAAAGTAATTTATTTCAAAAAAAGTGTCTCATGACTTGAAGCGATGAAATTTATTTAATGTATAAACCTTTTCTACACAGTTCCTACACAAATAATGTGCAAAAAGACTCCAACAGAGAAGGTAAAGGTTGTGGCACAAATTAGACTCAACATTTCTAAAGGAAATGATGAGTTTTACTTCACTTTCCCCCAATCATCTTTCCCCAAAAGCTGCTCAGACTATAAAAACAGACCTAGACAACCCATTAGTGCCAAATGCTGGCATTTCCTTCAAAGTTCCTGGAAAATGAAGCCATCTTCACTTAGGATAGAAACAAGATGCACCATCAGCCTATGCAAGCCTAGGTAGGAAGAGCCTTCATTTAAATATCTGGAAATGAATGGATTGGAAAAAGAAAGAAAAAAGAGGTTTGGGGAACATAAACCCCCCCCATGTTTTCAAACTCATTTGAACTCTGTCACAGCTGTTGATGCATTTTAGTCCATGCAACAGGGATCAGGAGATAAAATGGAATGAAAAAACAAACCACACTCTTCTAACCCCCTTGAATAGGACAAACCCTCTGCCAGTGCCATTTACTGTGAGCATTAATTAGCCATGCAGTGTCAAAACAAAGCAACCAGTGGAAATCAGCAACCTGCACATTAAAAAAGAGTAAAAGCAACCTTAGATTAATTAATTAGATATTACCAACGAAGCCCTAATTCTCTACACAAAGCCAGCATTAACTGCAATTCTCCTACTGCCCACCTGGAAGCAGGTGGGAAGGGCAGGCAGAAGATGCCATCCCTGAGATCCTCTGAGCACCTCAGCAACCCTCTGAAGGATCCAGGGAAGAGGTGGGAGATGTGGAAGGGTCATTCCTTACTGCCCTCAGCGCTGGCTCTGTGACAAGAACCCCAGGCCCAACAGTGGGGGAAGAAAACAGCAGCAATTGGGTCTAAACCTCTCATGTGAGGAGCAAATTTCATCCTTCACGTGAAAGGTAGAGTTGGGAGGCTCATAATTAAAGAAGGAGAACTGGAAAATAATTCCACTGAAAAACTGGTTACTGCAGCATCGTGGCTTTGTGCCTGAAAACTGCTGGCCTTTTTCCAGGCTCAAGTCCCAAATTTGTCACACAGCTTATGTAGCAAACCTGACATTTACCACACCAGCCCCAAGTGGGCCCTTCAGGTTTAACAAATCACTGAAGAAGGCTGGAACCAGCCCCAAATCACAAGAAACAGAGCATGAAAGGCTCTTCTGCTGCTCTCTGGAGGTTCTCACCACGCTGCCAACATCACCTTCAGGAGATACACTCAGAGCTAATGACATGGAAGCAAAGGTCATCTTTCCCAGGACAGGATTTCTTAAGGACAAGTCCTATCTGTCAAACCTGGACAGGATTAGTTGTTCCTGTCTTGTGCACTCAGCCATTGTGCCACAAGAAGCACGTGCTCGCTGCTCTAAGAAATACCACCCTTTCAGAAATGGCACCTTTAAAGAGTCTTCCCCTGAAGATTTATTAATGGACCCACTGAAAAGTGGCTGCACTTCAGGACTTCCTCACCTCCTGATTTTTCATCCCATCCTTTCAGCACACTGCACTTGTGCCTGTCCCTTTTCTAGGGCCCAGCTCTAAAGTCAGTCTCCTAAAAGCTGTCATTTAAAGTGGCTGAACAATGCCCAATTCCAAAGCAGTGCTTGAGTTTTTTTTTTTTTAAAATGATGCCTTATACTGATCTATATTTGACTTTGAGTGGAGTTACAGGGACACCCAGAACAAAAAAGTTCAGTGTTCCATAGCAAATATTAACACATCAGGCAGCATTTGTGTGAAAATTAAAGAATTAAGTAAAGAATACAAGATGAGAACTGATTAACAGCTCTGTGATAACTGTGTACATTGAATTAAACTGGCTTATCATTTCTGTCTTTTGAAATATTAATGTCCTTCACACTGTGGCATTACCATGCTGATGTACAGCTCCAGCAGGAAAGGCAGTGTTCCATGGATTAATCTTCCCAGTGTTATCACCCACCCTCTGAAACACTTGCACTCTGTCAGACAAGGATCTGGGAGCCGTTAACAGTTTACAGCTCTAAAGGGGACACTTCCTGCAGCTCAGATACTGCAAATCTGACCATTTCCCACAACGTGCAGGGTTTCCCTTCTCTAAATGTCCATTTCCAGAAAATGAATAACCCCCCCAGCACTGCAGATAAGAGCACTGAAGAAAAGAATGCAAGATTTACTGGCAGCGTTTCAGGACACTTCGCTGACTTCACGCAACAGGTTGTGATTTCACAGCTAAGCTGAAGAACCTGTACCCTGCAGCCCTTCAGCTACTGACTGAAGTGGAAATGAGTCTTACCCTTGGAAAACTAAAGGCATTCATCATTTCTCTTGATGGATACATCCCTCCCCACCACTACAAGTTAGCATTTCCAAACAGTTCAGCAGGGAGTATTTCAGTTTCCTGCTGAAGAGAAAATGCCAAACCCTTCTCTCAGGCTTCCTGCAATCTAGGCATGAACATGAGTGGGAAGGGAATGAAAACTGTCAGAGCCATTCCTCCAAACTCACTGAATATTCATGCCAGATGCAGCCATTAAGAACCTCTGATTTTATTTTCACCTTTTCCTTCGCAGCACTCAGTGAAGCCAAGTTTTTCCCCACTCTCCAGCCTGTACTTACCCTGAGTTCCACTTCTTTGCCGAGTAAGTCGTAGAGAACTGCTCCTTTGGAGGTGATTTCAGAAGCCAGCTGTCTGGCTGCCTTCAGGTCAGCAATCTGGGAACAAAACGACAAGCACTGGATAGCAAGAGAATTCCCAGCATCACAAAGAAAATCCACAACATTTAACATGGGCAAAATTAACTTTCAGCCGGTGTTTTGCAAGCTCCTCTTGTTGCAACGAGGTTAGTAGGGAGAAAATACTCTTTGTTCCAGCCTACCCCAACATTTCTATGATTTCAACAGCAGTGGAAACCAAAGAGGGTAAATTCTGTGCCACTGCTGCATTGTATCGTGCTTCTGATTGAGAATGCACTGAGATCAAAGCAAATCATAAAATCACAACACCTCAACTACAGAAAGCCTGAGTTAAAACCACACCTACTACCTTCCAGAACATTCTCCCTTTAAGCTTTCAGCTAGAAAATGGGGTTTGTTTTGCCCTGCCCAGAACAGGAGTACAAGTTTTCCTTACTTTTGAGCCGAGATCCAACTTGAACTTGCCATAGTCTTCCTCTCTGAGGTCTGCACGCTCCACTCCCTTGGTGTTCATGGCCCCGTAGAGCACAGAGGTGACCTTCAGCAACTCCTTCACTGCATACCCATCTGCCTGGTACAGCTTCTTAGTGTTGAGCTTGATGTGAGCTTTGGTAGCCTTGTTTTTGGGGAGAACAAACGAAATCATCATTCACAAGAACAAAATCCTCGTTTACCTCCTCACTGCAAAGCTCTTTTCGGGGTCACCGTGCAGAAATCAACCCTCCAGTTTGGACACACCAGTTTGCCTCAGCATAAGCCTGATCCTTCTGGAAGATATTTTTCTGAAACCTGTGCCCTTTCTGCACGTCAGAACATTTGCAGAAAAACCTCAAACTATCCATTATTTCTTCCCTGCGCTAAGATAACAAAAAAAAACCCAACTGTGCTCCACTTAAACTCAATTTGAGTTTAAGTGGAAAGTAAGTGCTGCCCAGGTCTTGTGATGATGCTGTAGAGAGGTAAATTTCACCCTTAATGAGTTGCAAGAATAAGATCAATTATCCTAATTTAACTGTCTTCTCTTCCAGCAGCACCTGTAAAATATTTTATTGCTCCTCTCAAATTTTTCCCTGCTATGATATTAGTAATTTTATTCCCTTGCCTTCCATCTCTGGAAAGTACAGACAGGTCAGTATGGAAAAGAACAATAAAAGTTATAATCTTTTATTTTTATACTTCAGAATAATAAAGGGGAAAAAAGAGCATCTGTCACAGAAAGGACACAAATGTTGCTCTTGAAATTCCTGACAAGTTTGTATCATAAATGAACAGTCCCAAGGAGCCAACACAAATTTCAGATTAAACTTTCAGGGAGTCTTCCTGATGGCGTAACTAGAAAATGTTTAGCTCCCTTCCCTTTCGGTAGAAGAAGTCTAAAAAATTAATGGCAGAAACAACAGGTATTAAATTTTAAGAGAAATGTGTCATTACATTGACACACTCTATTAAACATCCCCTAGGCAAACATAAGTGATGCCCTAAATCATAAAGGATGTTGTTAAAGGCAGAAATTCTGATTTCAGCTCCGCTCGAAATTCAGCTCTCCCAAGACAGAGAAATTAAGGTCTACTAAGAGGAAAAAAAATGGGTTTCCACTCAAATATTACTTTAAAAAGAGAAGAAAATACATGGACAAGTACATATATTTTTCAGATCGGCCCAATAGCACAGCTTAGTCAAGAAGGTAACTTCATATTTGGAGAGCTTGAAACAGTCCCCTATTTTACAACAACTCTAGTTTGAAAGAATAATGAAAATTCACCTCTACTTATTCTAATGATCAGACTATTAAAATGCAATAGAAAATACAAATATACAGCAAGAATGGCATCGACAGGCAGAATTCTGCCTGACTTTACAAGCTGTTTTATTATTAGCAGAGAGCCAAATTTTGACTCTTGCAAAAAAATCTGGTACCTTGGTTTGCTAAGGATGTTTTCATGAATGTATTTCCATGAGATAAACTCATGGAAAGTGGCTTTTTGTTGCACTCTACTTCAGATCTGGATCCAAGGGGGCTTGAGCAGGAGCCAAGCATCGAGCCCTCCTAACTAAGGCAGCTCCAGGTGGGGAAAGGATTAAAAACCCACCTAAGGCAACCCTGCAGACACTTCTGGGTCTGGAAAGGAGACATTTGGTAAATTCCCACCATGAACACAGAGCAATACATAATCTGTGTGGAAAATTAACAGCTCTCTGGGGCTTGATCAGTAAAGGAGAGCAAAGCTGCAGTTGTATTTCATGATGATGAATCTCTCCTGATATTCTCTCCTCAGACAAATCTGTCTCCATCAAATCTCTCATCTGCCTAGAGATGCATAAAGCTGTTAACTCCTGGGGAAGATAACTGTGGATTCCATGGGCAGTGAATTAATGAAGAAAATGTTTAAAAGCTTTTCTCAACCTGGAAATGCTGAAAATCTACAATAACCCCCACATTAACTTGTAGAATTAACTGAGACTAAGTGCAGCATGATTAAAGGAATTTCCATTAGTTTCATTTTCTGAACCATAATATGTAATTCTCCAAAACCCTTGGGATTTCTTGCATTAAATCAGCTATTAAAAGGCAGATGTACACATAATGTTATTTCTGCATCCACACTTGTCCCTTGTTAAACATCCTTGACTTGGATTTTCCTGTAATTCCAAACAAAATAGGTCTGATGGTGCTCCAGGCCTCAAAAGTGCATTCTAATAGATACAGGAATGTACCACGCTCTGAATACAACAGGATGAAGAATTGAGAGAATTTATGGTGCATGCTCTTCACAAATGAGAAGGAAAATATGGTCACAATGTTATCTTACTGTATTTTAAAAAAAATCTACGTATTATAATGAATCTCTGGTATTAGCATAAAGACTTCCATTGATTCCAGAGCCACCTGCAAGCCCAGTTAAGTTCTTTTTACATAATTAAGAATGTTATCTAAGTGTGTGATAACAGCAAAGGCTCACGCTGCACCACAATAATATGAATTATATGAAGAAGAACGTTATCTTATTCTATGAAACTAAAAAATTTGATGGCCCAATTCAAGTATGCTCATGCACAAAAGGTTTGAGCTGAGAAAAACATGTGCCTTGATCCATGAGAAGGCTCACACCAAACATATACCAAATATATGACTCTGTATCATAATGAAGATGTCAGAGCTTAGGACTATCCAAGCACAAAAAAGAATCAGGCACCCAAAGTTAGCAATAAATATGCTGGGATCTCTTCTAGAACAATTTAAATGGCTTCAAAACAGTTCCTATCTTCTGCTAGTTTTTTATAACTAACAAGAGATAAGGATATTTTTCTGGCTTTGCAGGGAAACTGTAAAGGGTTAAGAGAGAAAGCTGACATGGAACCAGGATTTCAGGTATTCATATTTTCAGGATTTCAGGCTGTTCCTGAGCAGACTTACCATGAACTGAGCCACGGCCTTAATGAAGAAAACCCGGTCCTGTTCCGTCTCCACATCGGCAGGAATATCAGTCTGAGGCTCATACCTGCAGGAAGAAGGGGGTGCAGATCCTGACGAGAGATCCACGTGCAATATTAACGAGGCCAGTTCGTTTGTGAGGCAGAAATCAAACAGAACAAGCATGGACAAGACTGGTGAATGAATGTTTAGTTGCTGCTGCAGGACGGGGGCCCAGGGGTGCACAAGGTGGGTGAGTGCACAAACCGCAAAACTTACAAACAAAACTTACAAAGAAGCAAACTGACAGACTGTAAAATGCTTTGAAAAGACCACCAGTGAAAGGCAGGAACTTCTAGAAGTCGCCAGCGAGGAAGGAACGAGGGAGGAATAAAAGTGAATTCAGCATTTGGACCCTCAGTGCAACATCGGCATTTTTACAGACTGTTTAGGTAACTCAATGCAAGTAATTTTGAATGGTTCTAAATATTTCCCTGTTTTGTTACAACAGCATTCAGCAAATTTCTAACAGCTTGCTAATTAAACTTAATGGACACTAATGAGTAGGATGAATCCAGGCCAAAAAACACCAATCAGGCAAAGGGTTGTGTCTTCAACTGCAATATTCTACCTTATGAGGAGCTTAAAAAGAAATAGTGGGAGAGAGAAAACAATGTATAATTTGATTAACATGTCAAGATTCAGAAATATTTAGCCAAAGACTGTCAATGGGTTAAGTGGCTGTAAAACTACAAGTGGACAGTAGTAGGTTAGAATGGAATAATTTTATTTCTTTTAAACATGTTGTGGATGTGGGACAACACCAGGCTGAACCAACAGCTGTAGGAAAAATGCAAGAAGTGGCTGTATTTTGGGAAGTTCTCACTACAGGTTACCCTGTTTGGGTCCAAGGTCAGGCATGGGCAGGATGGTGACGGAATCTGAAGAATACATGGGAGAAACACTGATACTTTCGAATCAGTGCCCCCACTTTCTGGGTGAACCCTCTGCCAGCACTGAGTCATTGGATTTTCTACTCCAGGCTCTACAATTAAACTAAAAACCCGCTACCTACCACATTTCTATCTGGTATTTAGAAGAGCAGAGCTCAAAGAATGACTCTATATCATTGTATTTCACATCAAACCATCAGCTCCAAGCCCACCCTCCACATCCCAGCATGAGCCCCAGCATCTGTTGGCCTCACCACCAACCTTTTCACCAGCCACAGCAGCACTTCTGCCACAAGCATGAAGTTTGGGGTGTGGAAATTCTCCATGGAGATGAGCCGGGGATACCCCAGCGCCCTCATCATCTCGGTAAAATCTGAAAAAAACAAGCGAGGGATTCCTTCTTAAACATCAGGCAGGGGCTCCACCTCCCACAGCACGCTGCTTTGGTTACCACGGGACCTGCCCCGAGCAAAGCACCGTTAAAGAAATAAACCTGAATCATTAAAATAAACGATGTCATTTCAACAGAAAACACGCCTGAGTGAGAAGGTGAGTTTTTTAACGAGATTCATTCAGTGGGCTGAAACGATGCTGAACCGCTCCTCTTTACTAAACACGCTTTAAGCGACGGGCTGGGGAGGGCTCCCACAGTGCAGGGCTGTGCTCCCCCCTCCCCCGGGCATGCTCAGCCCCCCCGGGGCACCGCGACCCTCCCTCCCGCCCGCAGCTCGGTGTGCGGCCCAGAGGAGCTCTCTGGGGCCGCTGTGGCCGTGGTGGGGGTGCCCCATCCCGGCCCGGCCCGGCCCGGCCCGGCCCCCCGGCCGCTCTCACTGCGGAGGTCGCGGAACGACATCGCGGTCTCTGTGGCAACGCGCTACGGCGGCGCGGAGGGGCCAAACCCCGCGGGGAGCGGAGAGCGCCGCGGCTCGGCCTCCCGCAATTCCACAATCATTTAAGGTGGAAAAAGAGCTCTCTGCCTTCTGAGAGTCATCGATTCCCACCTGCGGCCCCATCGCCGCCGTGCCGACCAGCCCATCTCCAGTCTTTCCTTCAATACTTCTGGGGACGCGGACTCCACCACCTCCCCCCGGGCAGCACATTCCAGTATCCCATCACCCTTTTCTTGGAAGGGATTCCTCCTGATGGCCAAACCGAAAGTCCCCTGGCACAGCTTGGGCTGATTCCTCTCCTCCTGTCCCTGTTCCCTGGGAGCAGAGCCCGAACCCCCTCCCCTGGCTCCCCACTCCTGTCAGGGATTGCAGAGCCAGAAGGTCCCCCCTGAGCCTCCTTTTCTCCAGGCTGAGCCCCCCCAGCTCCCTCAGCTGCTCCTGCTGCTCCAGCCCCTTCCCAGCTCCGGTCCCTCTCTGGACACGCTCCAGCCCCTCAATACCTGTCCCGAATTGAGAAACCCAGAACTAGACACAGTCCTTGAGGTGCCCCTCAGCAGTGCCCAGCACAGGGACGGTCCCTGCCCTGAGCAGCAGATGGAGCAGCCACATCCCCGGGTCCATCGGTCCTGCTGGAGTCAGCGCATCTGCCTTCCACCTGCTCTGCAGAGGAGCACACGGATCTCTCCGGGTGCAGGAGCAAAAATCAAACAAAACGAGCGTGTTCGAGAGTAGAAAATAAATCTCCCAACTCCTCCTGCAGACTGGGGTAGCCGGAGTCTGGAATGCACACAGTGGGTTTGTGTGCAAACTGCAAAAAGTGTGAGACCCGAGACACTTCTCTGGCAGGAATTGCTTCCGGGGAGTCCTGAACACACCTCTTCAGCCAGTTTGGATAAGGAGCAAAATTTAGGCTGTGAAACACTGATTTTCAGGAGGAGGTGAAAAAATAGCTGCAGGAAGGTCAACTAACAGCAGCCAAGATCCTCGTGGGTGTCTTTGCCTTTGTCACACACACACAAATACACACACACAATAAACACAAAACACCAAATTCCTCACCCTGCTGCAATGTTCGATACATATTCTCCCAGGTTGCTACGGTCAGGCCTCCATTTGTCTCCCAGGTTTCCCTCTTGTCACGAGCGATGGGGCAGGACATGGCTTTGCTCGTGCCCACCCTCAAGCTGAGTGCTGCTCTAACCTCATCCTCGACTCAGAACCCTTCAACTTCTTTGGAATTAAAGTCCATTAAAATGGACACGTGTATTTTTATAGGAAGAACTGGGAATATCAATATTGGAAATATTTTATTGACTAGTTCTTCAAATTATCTTTTGTCTATATTGTGCCAGGAAGGGATAGCCAGGTGGGGGTCAACCTCTTCTCTCAGGCAACCAGAGAAAGGGTAAGAGGACATAGTCTTAAACTATGCCAGGGGAGATTTAGGCTGGCCATTAGGAGAAATTTCTTCCCAGAAAGGGTGATTAGATATTGTAATAGGGTGCTCAGGGGGGTGGTGGAGTCACCCAGAAGGTGCTTGCATGACCCTGGCCCACCAGGGAAGGGGCAGGAGCATCCCTGGGGTTCTCCAAGAGACACACAGAAGCACTGCTGTTGCTGGTGGGCAGAAATACCCACAGAAAACAACATCCCAAGGCCAACCAACACAGCCTTTTGTGACCTCTCAGCCCTTACCCACAACTGATGCCAACTGATCCCGTCAGCAGCTCCAGAACGAGCTTCTCCAGGGCTCTCAGTGTCCCGACTTTGCCCCTACAGACACGAGCCAGAGCAGTTTTCATGCTGGTGCTCGAATAAGAACAGTTTGACAGCTGCTGTGCTGACAGTGATGCTGTCAGATGGGCAGAGGAGCAGGAGCTGTGACCACGAGGCTCTGCAGGAACACTGCATGAGGCACCTGCAGCTCTTCCTGACAGGGTCATCTCAGGGGGGAAGAAGCTGAAAATGATGTCAGGCTGATCTGTGGATGTCTCAGGACATTTTCAGATCAACCCACAGTGTTCCAGTTCTAACTGCCAGTAGTTATGAGATACACAGATGTGGTCTCTGTATTGAGCAGTGCCCATCCACATGATCGAAAAAGTAATGAAAAGCAAGGAAACAGCAATAAATGGTGAAAGAATAAATATTGAGATGAAGAAGTTACATTAGAAAATAGGAGATGTGATTAGAGACTGCGTTTTTTTATGCTAGAAAGCCATGAGGTTGCAAACCTTGAATAATTCTCTAGTTCAAGAGTGTGTCAGACCTCCAAAAACTTGTTCAGGGGCATCAAAGAAAGAAGGAAACATTCCCCTGCCCTGCTGCTGAGTGATGTTGACCAGCAGGTGGGATGAAATACGTGGGGGAAATCTAAAGCTGTAAAAGAAATGAAATAATAAATTGAAGAGCTGAGGTTGGATGTAGCTTTGAACTAAACAGGGATCCACAGAGGAGCAAACTCCAGCCATATAAACCAGGGGAGGAGCTCAAACCACATCCATGAAAAAGAAACCTTGCCCCCTGCCCCCTTCCCATCTCTAGCAACCCACACCTCTACTTATTCCCCAGACATATGAACTACCCTCCATGGAAAAAGCTCCTCATTCCTAATCCCACACTTGGGAGGTTCCCCACATCACTTTAGGGCTAACAATCTCTCTGCATGTTGCAAGTGGTGCCAGGCAAACCCTTCCACATGCAGGCTGTTGGCATCATCCTATTTACAGCCTCTACTCTGGTTTCAGGACCCTTTTAGTCCCTCTGGCTCCCATCCACCCCCAAATACATCGAAGGATGAGACAGAAGTGTTTTGCTAAGGAGGATGAGTTATAAGGAAGACCAAAACTCCTCCCTCTAAGCAACTGTAAATCTGAAATTAAGAGAAATTGAGAAAGCGTGGAGAAAGGAAAAATAACAACTCTTTATTAAAGGATATATACGTGTTGGTAGAACAACAAAAAACCCACAAAACAACGGAACAATAATCCTGTACCCAAAAATCCCCTTCAAAAAACCCAAAACCAACCAAAACCGTTTTGGTGGTGCAATTCCAACCACGGCCAGCAGGGGCGCTGTTGGATCGGGGGGGGGGGGCAGACCCCGCGGTCGCTCCGTGGGGTCCAGCAGGGGGCGCTGTTGCACGTGGCGATCCCCGCGTGGGGCGGGAGAGGCCGAAAATTGAGCCCCTCCCTCCCACAGCGGGCAGGGAAAGAGGAGGGAAGGGGTTCTTCCCAGGAAAACTCACGCTGCCTGTGGCTGCCTGGGCGGCTTCCCCTTTTTTTTCGTCCGTGTGTATCAAAAAAACCGCTGCCGAAACACGGGAGCGGAGGAGGGAGAAAAACAAGCGATCTCTTTCCCAAATAGTTCCTCTCCGATGAAGTCCGAGCAGGTCCGGGCTGGGGGCAGAAACGGGGCGCAGGCAAACCGGGGCCACGGGATAAAAACAGGCGGCCAGGCTGAGAATAAAAGCAAGCTCGGAGCTGTCCCAACCCACACCTTGCCTCAGTTAAGGCAACCAAAAAATGTGTCCCATTTCCCAGGAGAGGGAAAAGGAAAAAAAAAAAAAAAACACCTCTTCCCCCTCCCCCCAGACTTGGAGGGCCATCAGTGTGGAATGCGAGTCCCTGGCCGGTTCTTTTGTGTCAGGCAATTACCCAAGGCAAGACCAACCTGCCCATTCAACAGCCCTCCCACACAGTGGGGCAGAGGGGGAAGGAAAAAATTCCCTGCTCATTTTTTTTTTCCCGTTAGAACAAGCAAACCTGTGACATGATCCATCCCTAATTTTTTCCCTTTCTTATGCCACCCCACTCTATCAAATTAAACCTTTGCACTCCATACATGCATGCATTCTTCTAAACTATAAACACATTCACAAATATGTAGGCACAAATACAGATACAGAGCTGTGACCAGTTCACCCGATGGGAAGATCCCCTTGAGGTATACACAGGGTTTCTCCATCTTCCTGCATCACCCACCATGTGCAACCGGGTCCGTGGGCAAAAACAATCCCGCAAAAACAATCCCACCAACGGGTTTTACCTAACATACCCCTCATGTGAGTCACTGGGACTCTGTCTCCATCTACAGCGTGCAGAGACTCTGACTGGGCAGGGCCGGCTCGATTGATGAACCTCCAGTGTTGACCAACCACGTAGCCTTCGCTAGGTGCTGGTCCCATTTTTGGAAGGTCCCTCCACCCAGCGCCTTCAGGGTGGTCTTCAACAATCCATTACACCGTTTAACCTTCCCCGCAGCTGGGGATGGGATGTGACACACCCACTCAATGCCGTGCTCCTTCGCCCAGGTGGTGACTGCCCAGTTCTCGAAGTGCGTCCCATCATCTGACTCGATTCTCTCCGGGGTGCCGTGTCGCCACAGCACCTGCCTTTCGAGGCCCAGGATGGTGTTTCTGGCAGTGATGTGGGGAAATGGATGCGTCTCCAGCCATCCAGTGGTGGCTTCCACCATGGTGAGCACACAGCGCTTGCCTTGCCGGCTCTGTGGCAGTGTGATGTAATCAACCTGCCAGACCTCCCCCTGCCCGCACTTACTCCAGCGTCCACCACACCGCAGGGCCTTCAGTGTCTTGGCCTGTTCATCTTCTATCCGTGTAGCCAGTTTATTGAGGCTCTCAAGCAATGTCTCTAGAGTGGAAATGCAGGCCTGTAGTGGTCCTTCGACCACACTGCCGTACAACCACAGTTTATTTGTTACAGACACCACTGGTTCTCTCTTCTCGCCAGGCTGCAGTGATGTCAGGTAACTGGTGTGTGCAGATGGCCCCATCCGTGTGAAGGTCCACCACATGAGTGGTGTACATTTAACCTTGTCAGGATCGCTGGTGTGTTGCCCATCCCTTCCAAACAGCACCTCCACCAGTGCCATTTCCCTCAGGCGTTGGATCCCCTCCTCCATGGTCTTCCAGCCCTTTGCATAATGGTCTGTCTGCAACAAATCTCTGTAAATGAACCTCTCTCTCACAGCGTCCAGCAGCCGTGCCCAGAGGGACAGGGGCTTTGGTTCTCTCACAAACACCTTCTCGATGCCCACATCCTGGGCAATAGGCCTCAAGAACCTTGCTTCACTGCCATCAAGGTTTATGGCATCACCCGTGGAGTCCCAGACTCGGATCATCCAGGTCAGTATGGGCTCATTCGGGTAACGAATGACGTCTGCCCGTAAGCTCCGGAGTTTGTTATACCGTAAGGACTCAGTGATGATTCCTGGCTCCGGGTTGGCTGCCTGGGAGGGTCCTGCCTCCCCATCATCATCAGCAGGGCGGGCCGATTTGGTCTTATATTTCCTCTTTTGGATAGGGGCATCCTCCACTGGCTTGGTGTGTCGCTTGGATTTGGCTTTATCCTGAGTCACCCTGGTATCAGGCACCTCGTTTTCATCTTTTCCTTTTCCCTGTGAGGGCTGCACCATATCGAGCACCTTTTTGTAGGCAACGGCTAAAGCCCCACACGCATCTACCACCTGCCTCTCTATGGGTTTACCACGACCTCTCTCCCTCACGGCTGTTATTATCTCTGCAGGGTTTAGGAGTTGTTCGGGAGTGAACTTCCATGTTGTAGGAACTGAAGCACTTTCTAGGAATTTACCCACGTCCTCCCATGGCCCTTGCCA